AACAAGTCCGTTCCAGTTTTCCCTATCACAGATGCTGTACACTGCTGTGTTTTTCACTTCCTTCGTCTTTGAAGGAATCCTCTTACAAACAACCCTTTTGTTTCACTTTATACTACGCTAAAAGTACACTGTGGGGTTGCTAATGTAACTGGTGTCCTTCATGTTTTATTATAAAGGCTGCCAGCATATAACTTAAGTGGCTTTGTTGGCTGCTCAATGTGGTGTAAAGAAGATTACAGGCAAGCTGCCAGCTTTTAGGGTCAGTTGTTTTAAAGGTTTAGAACAGGATACAGTTTAAAAACACAGTTTTCAGACTTTCTCTGTGCATGAGGGCTCATTATGGGGGGGGGGGAAGAGATGTGTGCAAACAGGTCAGGAAGGTTAGGATGGACTTTTGGAGAAGGCTGGATTATGTCTAGGGTTCCCATTTGCCTTCTTAAGGTGGGAGACTTCTGCCCAATCATACCACTTGTGCACTAATGCTCAGCTGATCAGTGGATGGAACCTGGAGCCAAAGGGGGACATGTGATCTTCCTGGGGAGAAAAATAAAAAAAATTAAAATAAGGCCTTGGCTACTTACCACTGAAATTCTAACTATAAAGTTCCTGGTGATTCTTAGAGCTCCCTGGAACTGATAAGGGTAGCTCTAGCAATTACCAGAAACTCTATGGTAATGATACTATAGTCACTGAATGAGCTTGGACTGATCAGCATAAACAGCCAAGGCATTCTCTAATTATTTTCTCTTGGGACTCTGCCCCCCCCCAACCCTTCCACTGGTTGCCAGGCACTGTCGGGCAACCCTAGTTATGTCCTCTGGGGCAGGTGGGCAGGTCTTGGTTTTAGCCAACTATTTACCAAATTTTAGTAATGTTTGTGGCATCCTTAATGCACTTTTTCCCCATCTAAGAATTAAAAAGCTATTCTCAAAATTGTGGCAATTATCTCCTGCCATTGTCCCTAAAAGGAGCTGCGGTGGCTCAAGTGGTCAAGACGCTGAACTGCAGGCTGCGGAAGGTCAGTAGTTCAGCAGTTCGAGACCCGGGTGCCGCAAGACGGGGTGAGCTCCTGTCTTTAGTTCCAGCTCCTGCCAACCTAGCAGTTCAAAAGCAAGAAATTGCAAGTAGATAAATAGGTACCACTTTGGTGGGAAGGTAACAGCGTTACGTGCACCTTGGTGTTTAGTCATGCCGGCCACATGACCACGGAAACATCTTCGGACAGCGCTGGCTCTTCGGCTTTGAAACAGAGATGAGCACCGCAACCCTAGAGTCGGATTCGACTGGCTTTCGAGCAAGGGAACCTTTACCTTTACCTATTGTCCCTAAAACATCAGGCGGGCATGCCCTCCAGTGTATCCTCGCAATAACCTTGCAAGCTAATTTAGGCTGAAAGAGAGGGAGGACCTGTGCAGACATTTCTCTTACATTTTGATACTAGGTATTTTTGCAGAATTTATGTTTTTGTATATGTTTAGGTGTGTTTTGCATTTGCATGTGTAGAATTTTGATTGGGGGGGGTTTTAAAAGTACATCAACCTTATGTTTATTTTAAAATGTCTTTAGTTAAAAACTTCTGAAGAGTTCAAGCTGAGTTTAGATGGTACTATTTACGTGTATGTGTGAACTAGCTTGTCTGCATACCTGTGCAGAGAGCACAAGCATCCATGATGACCCTAATCCACTGCTGAAGTACTGAACTACTGTTTTCAGGAAAGAAAGGCTGAAAAGGGAAATAACATACAGATTGACCAACATGTATCATCCTTGGGGGGAGGCTGTAGTGGTTACAATGTTGGACTAGGGTCAGGGAGACCAGGGCTTGACTTCCCACTCTGCTGTATAAGTCACTTGGGCCAATCAGCATTTCATAACCTAGCCAAGGTTTTGTGAGAGCCAGAATGGAAGATGGATAGGATTTAAAAGTGGTAGCGTTTAAAAATCAAATAACAATTTTTGTAGTATCATATTGTCTATATACTGTGAAGAGCTACCATTAGGATAAAAGGCTTATCACAATATCATTGACTTCTTTTCCTTGATTCTTCCTTTGAGACATGAACAAGGAAATTACCAATTTATTTATTTTATAGCTTACCAACTTCTGATTAGTTAGGGTACACATGCCTGGTCATCACTCATGAAGTCATCACAGATGAAACATTGAAGAAACCAAAAAGTTTTTGTTGGAGGTGCTTTGAATTGAGTGATTAACAGTGAATCCGAAGAAGAGTTACACCCTACTAAAGCCATGGGAGACAATGGGTTTAGAGGGGAGTAACTCTATTTAGGATTGCACTGTAAGTGATGAGGGCTGAAGGGATATGCGTGAATGGGTAAATAATTGCACTTTAGCAAGTACTCTACATTCCTCATTTGAAAATTGCAGGGGAATAATTTTTCTTTTAAGGGAAAATTACTTTATCTGATTAGTAACCACAGCTGTGATAACTAAAAATAAATGATGCATGCAATCACAGTACCCTATAAAATAATGTCATTATGATCTCTAAACATTAATTTTGGTTTTATAATTTCATAGATATTTGCCTCAAGTGGAGGCTTTTGTCGCTTGACACGGATATAAATAATGAAGCACATCATGAGATCTGGACTTGTGCGGAAAATAAGTAAGCTTTTAAATTTTAATAAAAATCCAATCTTTAATTCACAGAAGTTTCTCTCTTGTTCACTGCCCCTTAAAGCTTGAACTGTAAAATGTGCAAAAAGATCAACCATGATTTTATGTTCATGCTTAAGACTACACGTGGAATAGGAATGTTCATCCCAGTGATGAGGCAGATAGAAAAGCCACCTCAGGAGGCGAATTTGAGCAAAATGGTATCAGGTCTTGTGGCAGAAGTGAAATTAAGTGGTGGATGGTGCTTCTGAGATGCCACTAGTCAGATTCCTAATGTAAATGCATTGCCCTTTAAATAGACGGTGCTACCCCTGTGCAATCAGCGTAGGATTTGTATATAGTGCTAATGCCTGCCTTATTTTGGAGATATTCTCTCTCTCTCTCTCTCTCTCTCTCTCTCTCTCTCTCTCACACACACACACACACACACACACACACACACACACACAAACTTGAGGAGTCCAGATAAGGCCAATGAACATGTACGAGAAGAGATTGTGCACTTATGTTTTCTGATGGGCAGTTTAATGTCTCTGTGCGCATGAAAAAAAAACTTGTCATATGAATGAAAAGTAAATTCCTGTGCCCACAAGGTTTTGGATCATGCCTAGTGTAAAAAGACCCTTGTCGGATAATTAAAGAAACAAGGAGAAACATTTCTTCACAGTAATTTGCTTTTCTTTGTGTTGATCTGTATCACTTCATAGATGTCATGTTCCAGAAAAATTACCTTCTATTCCTTTGGGCACTTTCCCCCCGTCATCATGGTCACTGAATGACAAAGAAAAACTACTTGTAGATTCCATCAAGCAATGTCAAACCAAGATGAAAAATCTTCCATTGCAGGTAAGCTATTTGCTGAGCATATGTAAAATTCAGTAGAGATGTTTATGTTTTTGACCTCAGATTTAAAGGATTATAGTGAAGTCCTAATATCATATGAAATATGCTCTATTGAGTAGACCACCTGAGTACAATCTTGAGTAGACCAGCCTAGGATTGCTCTCTTAAAACTGAATAGTTTTTACTTTTGGGGGGAATAGCTTAAAGCAATACTTCATGAAAGCTTTAAGAGTGTCCTGAACTGGCAGTGTGAGGCCAGGGCACATAAAACTAATGCTTGTTGAAGCAGGTTTAAATGCCACAGGATGCAATTTAAGCTGTTGGTGGCTGTTCCCTGATTTCAATGGGATGAGACTTCTGTATACCCCTCTGCATAGGACTGTGCTGTTAGTAATCTTTCATTATCATATTTCTTAGCATAGTTGAGAGAAATAATATACAAGTCTTTTGGAAAATACATAATTTAAGGCCTGATCCTGTGGATTGCTTAATCAACAAAGAAACATACAAAATGCAACTATAGGGACTGCTGTGGATCTCACAGTATGTGGTATTGTTTCACCAGTCTAGGTCATGGGTCAGTCCACTGTTGCACTAATGATAGTTGACGTTGGGCACAGCACAAGAGGACACAACTGTAATATTGAATATCTCCTGTCTGAGCTCCACATGTAGACCCATTCCTTCTCCTTCTGTACCTCTTTCCTTGCTAAAAGCAGAGAATGCATCTACTGTAGTTTTAAAACTATAAATAGTGGGAGGCCCTATTTAATTCAGAGAGACATAAGAATATAAGAGAAGCCAATGTTGGATCAGACCAATGGCCCATCCAGTCCAACACTCTGTCACACAGTGGCCAAAAATACCAGGTGCCATCAGGAGGTCAACCAGTGGGGCCAGGACACTAGGAGCCCTCCCACTGTTGCCCGCCTCCCCCAGCACCAAGAATAGAGAGCATCACTTGCCCCTGACCAAGAGTTCCTATCTATACCTTAGCCACTGATGGACCTCTACTCCTTATGTTTATCCAATTCCCTCTTGAAGCCGTCCATGCTTGTAACCGCCACCACCTCCTGTGGCACTGAATTCCATCTGTTAATCAGTCTTTGGGTGAAGAAGTATTTCCTTTTATCCGTTCTAATCCAACTGCTTAGCAGTTTCATTGAGTGCCCACAAGTTCTTGTATTGTGAGAAAGGGAGAAAAGTACTTCTTTCTTGACCTGCTCTATCCCATGCATAAACTCGTAAACCTCTATCATGCCGTTTCTCCAAGTTAAAGAGCCCCAAGTGCTTTAACCTTTCTTCATAAGGAAAGTGTTCCAACCATTTTATCATTCTAGTTGTCCTTTTTTGCACTTTTTCCAATGCTATAATATCCTTTCTGAGGTGTGGTGATTAGAATTGCACACAGTATTCCAAATGAGGTTGCACCATTAATTTATACAGGGGCATTATGATACTGGCTGATCTGTTTTCAATACCCTTCCTAATAATCCCCAGCATAGCGTTAGCCTTTTTTTTATTGCAGTCGCACACTGTCTCGACATTTTCAGTGAGTTATCTACTATGACTTCAACATGTATTTATAGTTAAGATTTTTGGCCCCAATGTGCATCACTTTGGCTTGGCAACATTGAACCCCATTTGCCACGTTGACAGCCACTTGCCCATCCTCGATAGATCCCTTTGGAGTGCCTCACAATCCTCCCTGGTTCTCACCACCCTGAACAATTTTATGTCATCCACAAATTTAGCTACTTCACTGCTTACTTCCAACTCCAAATCATTAATGAACAAGTTAAAAAGCACCGGACCCAGTACTGAGACCTGTGGTACCCCACTGCTTACTACCCTCCACTGTGAAAATTGCCCATTTATACTCACTCTCTGTTTCCTATTAATTAGCCACAAGAGAACTTGTCCTTTTGTCCCATGACTATTGAGCTTACTTAGGAGCCTTTGGTTAGGAACTTTATCAAAAGCTTTCTGGAAGTCAAGGTAGACAACATCTATTGGGTTCCCTTTGTCCACAAGTTTGTTTACCCCCTCAAAGAACACTAACAGGTTAGTGAGACAAGATCTTTCCTTCCAGAACCCATGCTGAGTCTTCTTCAATAGTTTTTGTTCATCAGTGTGCCTACTAATACTCTCCTTAGTAACGGTTTCTACCAACTTACCCAGTATTGACGTCAGATTGACTGGCCTGTAATTTCCCAGAAAGAGAAAGGGTTAGCATTTTCCCTCATGATTTTCCCCCCATCTTCAACTGAATGGAGCTCCTGGAATATTTTAAACAAAGGGAGAAAATGATAATCATCAGCGTGATATATTCTGAACAAAGATATCGAATGTCTGGGACACCTGTTAACCTAATAAATGAAAAATGTTATCAGAAATTCCTGCAACATCATAAGTTCCCCAGAATTTATTTGAGCAATTCTCATCAGTACTAAAACTTTAGAGATAAGGAGCCTGAGTCAAAGGTAGGGGCCATCTAGCTCTGTGCTGTGAACACCGACTGCAGAGGGCTTAGCAAAAAGACTTTCCAAAATCTGCTGTGTGATATCCTTTAACAGGATATGATGGTGATAGGGAACATACCTCCAAATCGCCTGCTCTTCTATTGGGCTAGGTTTTGGTGCCCATAGATCTACACCTAATGAAAATGAACACAGATCTTTTTACTATGCATTTGTATTATTTCACTGATCAAATTGCCTGGTATAATTAGATATTATGTGCATATGTCAGGCACTGTTGACTAGAAAATACATTTATTATTTGCTTCAACTATGCCCTGCTTTTCTCCCCAGTGGTGGCCCCAAAACCACTTTCATTGTTCTGCTCTTCTCCATTTTATCTTCTGGATGACTCTTTCAGGTCAGTTAGGCTGAGACTGTATGACAGGCCTCAGCTGAATATTGTGCCATAAGGTCCACCCTCTAAACCAGTTATTATCTCCAGAGGGACAGATATTTCTCATCTGGAGTTCAGTTGTATTTCTGGGAGCAGGAGGGAGGCCCGGCCGACATGCAGCGATGTGCCTACATCACTGCCCTTGTGACTCAGAAGTGACATCATCATATTGAGGCGACACTCTGGTATTTGGGCAAAATGTCTATGGTAAATTTGGCTTCTACCAAATTTATTTTTTTTCCTGAATACCAATGTCTCTAGCGTGATGACGTCACTTCCGGGTCACATGTGCAGTGACATAGACAACATTGCTGCATGTCAGTTGAATCTCCCTCTTTTTCGGGATAAGTTCCCCCTGCTTCTACCATAGCATACCAAGGCTTCTACCATAGATTTTTTGCCTTAATATCAACGTCTCTGGCGTGATGACGTCACTTCCGGGTCACATGTGCAGTGACATAGACAGCATTGCTGCATGTTGGCTGAATCTCCCTCTTTTGGGGGGTACGTTCCCCCTGCCAGCCAACTGATCAGTGGTGGGGAAGTGGGGCCTGGCAGCAGGGAGACCCACCTCCACCAGAGGGTCTGGCATCCCTACCTGGCTGCTTCCTATTTTTCAGCAGCAGCCACCCTATGAAAACTAGTGTGATGTAGTGGTAAGAGCTTCAGGTTCAAATCCCTGAATTGCTGTGGAAGCTCGCTGGATGATTGTGTATGAGTCACATGCTTTCAGCCAAGCCTACATCACAGGGTTGCTGTGTGGAGGGGGGTGCCCCTATTGAATTTGCAGTGCCTCCACCTAATCTTCCCCAATCTTCCCTTTCAACTCTGTTTTTCCTTAAGCCGCACCACTGCACTGACCCACCTTCCTTCCGCTCACCCCTTACCTTGGCAGCAGGAGGAAGCAGCAGGAAGAGCTGGCTCAGCAGAAGGAAAGAAGGATTAGAGAATCACCTCGGGCCAGGGCAGTGGCGGCACGTCTTAAGCTGCGCCTGCACCAGGCAGCATGGGAGGATCTTGCTGCTGGCATCATGTAGCCCGGGTCACATGCCGCTAGTGACGAGATCTTCCCATGCCACCTGGTGCAGGTGCGGTGGAGGGGAGGGAAAGTTTAAACTGTGCTGGCCCAAAGCCATGATAAGGAGCTACTCCTCTCCCTTCACCGATGCCCCCCTGAAAAGTTCCTGGCTACAGCCCTGAAAAAGGACAAGAGGAGAATAATGTGAGCTGCTTTGGTCTCCACTGTGGAGAAAGGTCGGGTATAAGTGATGTAAATAAATAATAAATATAGCTGAAGATGGGAGACAGATAAAGGTAGGTTGGTGAATAACTGAAAAGGCGAGAATGAGGCACAGAAGGAAGAGAGGATATGGGGGTTGCCAGGAGGACAGAAATAGGAAATAGTGTAGGGAGGGGGGGATACAGGAGAAGTGAGGTGTCACCCCACAAGTTCTTGAAGGTTCCCTACCATGCAAGTGGTCCCAATGGCCAGCACCACAAACGTGGGCTGCAGTTTTCTTAGGTAGAGGCTATGGGTGGGTGGGAGGTGAGAGGGAAAACTAAAGATAATTTGGCTGATGGATGGGAAAGAGATAGGGTTGCCAACTCCAGGTTAGGAAATACCTGGAGATTTGGGGGCTGAAGCCTGGGGATGGAGTGATTGAGAAGGGGAAGGACCTTAGAAGGGTATAATGCCGCCATAGACTCCACCCTCTAAAGCAGCCAGTTCCTCCAGGTGGGGGTTGGAGAACGCCCAGAATTACAACTGCTCTACAGATGACAGAGATCACTTCCCCTGGAGAAAATGGCTGCTTTGGAGGGTGGACACTATGGCATTATACCCTGCTGAGGTTTCTGCCCTCCCAAGGTGTCACTCCCAAATCTCCAGGAAGTTCCCAACCTGGTGCTGGCAACCCTAACTGGAGTAACTGACCTCTGTATTTGGGAGATCTGTTGATATTCCAGGAGATCTCCAGGCCCTACCTGGAGGTTGGCAACCCTGGAAGGAGAGGAGGAAGCAGGAAAATGGGAGAGGCTCTGTGGGCTTTCAAGAAAGGGAAAGATGAAATAGTGGGGTAGAGGGAAATGAGATGCCTCCTGCAAGTGCTTATGGGTTTCCACTTGTAAATAAACAAAAAGTCAAAATCTTGGTCCACATACATGGGCAAAGCATTCTGTTAGTTGAACAAATGAGTGTACATTTGACTGTCTCAGGTGTTTCATTAAAAATATGTATGTGCATTCTGCTAAAACGACGATACCACGTTTTATTAGAAACACGATGTATTAGTCTAAAAAGCCCCAAAGATTTTTTTTAATCTTTTCCCATTTTGAAAAGAATGGTGGGGGTTCCATTCTTAAGATAGCTTTCTGTCCAAGATGCTCTTGTATTTCAGGATTCATATGCCTTCAAGTCCAGTGTTCATTCTTAATGAATGCTTTTTCCTGTGCTTTGCAGTCTTTATCTGTCTTTATCTTGGCATCAGTAAATGATCTGCTGGCACTCTTTAAGAATAAGTGTGTCTTCTATTTGAATCCACACTGCATGTCTCTAACTGTGCAGATACCCTATACACATTGTAGTAAAGTATTTTCATTTGCTACAGCCCTTTCAAACAAGGACTGCAAGAAGAAAATTGAGATGTGTCTTTCATCCTATTCCCAAAGTTCTGCACAGTGAATAGACTCAGCATGACCTTGTGCACAAGGAAAAAACATGGGCCATTTTACTCTTTGTTTTTCATACACTTCCATGTATACTATTGAGGCAAAAATGTATTTTCATTTGACAGGTAAAAGCAAAAGGAAATTTAGGTTTCAATTCTAGTTGTCAAAACATTATTGGGAAATTTGAACAAAGCTCAGATGTCTCTGTACTGAGAAGTGTCCTGTTTAGTCATATGAGTAACAATAATTGTCTGTTTTACCTTTCTCCTCTTCAACCAAAAATACCAAAAGATAGCATTCAGATCTTTTCCAGGCAATGCAAAGGGATACCAATTGGACAAGGTATTGCCTGTTGCCCCACATTCATGAACCACTGACACTGACCTTTACTAAAGGCATTCATATTTCAGTTTTCCCCAAATATTTTAATTACAATAACTGTGGGATCCTTCCGCTGATAAAAACTGATAAACCAGTGCTTAAATGTTGAACCCACTTTTTCTTGCAGAAATGTTACTTGTTACAACCACATACTGTTGTCCAGCATACAGAAGACAGCACACGTGTTAAAGATGTGAGTAAATGGACTGAAGTTTCTTGCACAATTACTTGGGAGTAAGTCCCACAGAAACAAGTGGAACTTGCTGGATAGGATAGCTGTTGTCATTATAGTTATTATTTTTCTGATACTCCTAGGGTTGGATCCAAAGGTGTTCAGCATAGGATTGCCAACCACCAGGCAGGGCCAGAAAGACTCCCTGGATTATGGCTCATCTCCAGACTGCAAGGATCTGTTCCCCAGGAGAAAATGGCAGGGTGGACTGTGTGGCATTATACCCTACTGAGGTCCTTCCTATCCCCAAACCCCACCTTCCTCAGGCTGCATCCCCAAATTACCAGGAATTTTCTGTCCCGGGGTTGGTAACCTATATGTGGAAGGTTTCTCCCATTCAAGAAAGGGCTGTTTTATACTTAATCACTAGAATTCTATGCAAGAAAAAAAATGAAACCCCACAAATGTTTTAGGAACTTGCAGAAACTCATGTAAGCAGAAGTGTGGAGAGCCAGCATGGTGTAGTGGTTAAGAGCGGTGGACTCTAATCTGGAGAACTGGATTCGATTCCCTGCTCTTCCACATGAAGCCAACTGGGTGACCTTGGGTCAATCACAGCTCTTTCAGAGCTCTCTCGGCACAAAAAAATAAGCCTAGCTTGCTACTAAAAGAGCTAGAGCTTCAGGCACCCAGGCAGTCCTTGGATCTCCTGGCTACATTTCACACAATATCATACAATAATTTAATTTAATTTTAAGCAGAAGTGTGACAAACAGTGTGGTTCAGTGGTCATAATCTTTGCACAAAGGCCAAGGAGACAGTTCCAATCCTTTTGCATTACTGAAACTCACCAACTAACTGGCATAATGTCACCATCTCTCAGCCTGACCTAATCCACAGGTTTATTCTGAGAATAAAATTGGGAGGGAGCTGTGGGTAAAGACACTGCAGGGGTATACATCAGGATAAAAATGTAGTAAATAAATGGAAATAGACCTTAGCTTTTTAATCACTACCACTTCCACAAGAATGTCTGAAGTGGCTCTAACAGAACATTTTTCTGCTTTGGGTCTAATTAATATGCAAAGAACTATATAGTCATTACTTTTGAGCTAGATCTCTATCTCCCTTTTACAGAGAATCCAAGATTATTTGGCAAGCCAACTGTCACTTAACTGAGATTTGGATCTCTGAGGGCTAGTTCTGTCATTTACAGTGAAGTCAATTGACTTAAGTAGACTTAGAGTTGTAACTCTGCTTAGATTTGAGCAAGGCAGTTAACAGCAGGACATTTTGGAGGGTTGCCTTAAGTTGAAAGCAACTTGACGACATTTAACACACACACACACACAACTCTGCTTAGGATGGGACTGTTACTGACCTCAGTAGACACAGACAATGCATGATAGGTAACATGCATGAGTAAACGGACAGGAGAACAAAAAATACTCTCAAGTTAATATTTTTGTTGGCTTCAGAGTCTGACAATTGGTTCTTGCTTGTCTAATATAATTAAACAACATGCAGTTCAGATAGTCTGCACATTTGTTTAAGGTATTTTTAATGATATAGTGATCCTGGTTTCCAGTGTGTTATGTGATCCTTAGGGCTGGGAGAAAGTGTGAAAAGGAATCATAATGTGAATTAGGGGGGCAGTGAATACTTTGCTGTCCTCATGTACTTATATCATAAACAGAATGTGATGTCTCTGATCTGATCTTCCACTCTTGCCAAGGGTTGAGTGCTCACCAAACCTGAACTGGCCTGAATGGCTACTCGGCACAATAAATAATTTGACAACCTCTGGCTGCTGAGATTATTTCTAGCAACCTCAGTGGCTTTAGCTTTGTCCTTGAGCAAATCACTGTTTATATCTCTCATGAATCAAACTACTAGGCAGGTACAGGTATAGAAATATCTCACAGGAACAATTCTATCAAAACTCCCAAAGTGATGCTGATTTCTCTTTCAAGAAAAATAAAACCACCGAGAAGACAGTGTGCCAGAGGAAAGCTTTTCGCAAAGATCCATCTCCAGCTTGCAGTTGTTTGATTAAGAACACTGCAGATAAAAGACCGGTACAAAAACCAAGCCTTCGAAAGCAGCCACCTGCAAAGCAAAAGATTTGCTCTCAGAGGAAACGGCACCTTCATCAGGAAGAAAAACATTGCCTTTCAAAGCCAGAGGATAGGAAGGATCACAATATTTCAATGGTATAGTATAGCTATATTGCAGTGTGTGCCAAAAATAGTGTGTAAACCTCACAATACTTGGGAAGTTTAATAATTCTTGCCTTAATTTACGGCATACATTTTTGAGCACTTCACTGAACACTGTTTAATATGTTGCTTGAATTGATGTACCTACCTGCAGTGAAAGTTGAAACTTACTGTGGGAGAGCAATCTCTGGTCTTCAATTCGCTATAAGGTAGAGTGATAAATAGTTTTTAGGGTGGGAAATGTAATTTGACTTCAAGATGGGACAAAAACTGGATTTTTGTGATTATAATAATTAATAGAATGGATTTGAATAAAAAAGAATGCTAGTCATGAAGAGTGTTGTTAGGTGTGCTTCTAAGCAGGTTCATACATGCAAGTTCCCTGATCTCTTTGATAATAGCACATAAAAGAAGGAATGGTCTTCTTCAAGGTATCTTACTTAATTTGAACAGTATAGCAGCTGAATTATTAACAACAGACTATGTTATCATAGAAGCAATTGTGAGGACCCCACCCCCTCCTTCAGCCGAGACCCCCCTTGGATAGTAGGGTTTCCCTTTTATTTGGGACTTAGTTGTTTCAACAGGCACCTCATTTAAGAGCTTAAGTGCCAAGGGATCTGAAACTTGGGTGCCTCATAAAGGCAACTGGGTTCAGCCGTGATATTAAAAAATCCCAGGAAAGAAGATGAAGGGTGTGGTAGAATTAAAAACTGACTAAATGCAATCCCCCCCCCCCCAGCTCTGTGGCACAGCTTATTCAAGAATTTAAAAAACTTCCAACGCTCAGGACATCACCCAATATCCTGACACACCCCAAGGGTGTCTGCCTAGCTCCAAGGCATGCCCGATACAAATATCCCTTGCTCCAAGGGATACTTCATCAAGGCATGAAAGTGCAATAAATTGCCCCTGTGCTGCTAGCTAAAAAGGTAAAGGTTTCCTTGCTCGAAAGCCAGTCAAATTCGACTCTAGGGTTGTCATCTCCGTTTCAAAGCCGAAGAGCCAGCGCTGTCCGAAGACGTTTCCGTGGTCATGTGGCCGGCATGACTAAACACCAAGGTGCACGTAACGCTGTTACCTTCCCACCGAAGTGGTACCTATTTATCTACTTGCAATTTCTTGCTTTCGAACTGCTAGGTTGGCAGGAGCTGGAACTAGAGACGGGAGCTCACTCCGTCATGCGGCAACTTGGGTCTCGAACTGCTGAACTACTGACCTTCCATAGCCTGCAGTTCAGCGTCTTAACCACTTGAGCCACCGCAGCTAGCTAGCACAAGCCAATTGGGAGACACGGCAACTAGATGGAGCTTTTAAACAGCAACACAGATAACAGAGTGCTAGATGTATAAATACATCTAATGGGTGATGCTTTTTCAGATTTGTTGCTGGCAGTGTCTTTGGACAGTGTTGGCTCTTTGGCTTGGAAACGGAGATGAGCACTGCCCCTTAGAGTCGGATTCGACTACTTTTCGAGCAAGGGAAACCTTTATCTTATCAAAGAGATCTGCCATTGTTGCTGAGCACTAATTAATTACTGTAATTGTTTTAATTCTAATGCAGGTGCTACCATTTAAAGTACAAGATGAGGAACCACTGAATAAAGAGCTTGAGGTCATAAAAATTGAAACAGATAGTGAGTCCGAAGCAATATGCGTAAGAGACAATTTGTTATTTCTTTATGTAAACCATTGGTAGTAGAATTCTGAGGCACAAATTGACATCAGCAGATCCATGTGTTTAAACCCAGATCTGCTTTGATCACATATTAAGGAAGGACTAGGTTTCCAGTGACTTAACTCTTTGAAGCGTCTCCAATGATACACTTTTCTCTCAGCCAAGCTCCAAAACTGAAAATAAGCCTGGCTGGGAGAAAAATTCTTGGGCAGGGACTATAAGTGGGAGAGACCATTAACTACTTTTGCTTTTAAAATTGAGCTCACTCTT